TGGAATACTTCAATCACTAATAATATTCACTCCTCAGCGCCTTGACTCACTTCAATTCACTTCACTCAACAATTCAAACTTCACTATTTGGTCTTACCCACCTTTCTTGGCTGCCAAATTTTATTTTACTCACTTCATTATTTGGTCTTACCCACCCGTAGGCTGCCAAATATTCACTTTTTCACTTCACTTTCAACTTTTTCAATTTTTCTCAACCTTTCAACACTTCAATCTTGATCGGCAAAATCTGCGCACTTCCAGGACCACTAGGCATTTCAGCCTTAAACTAGGCATTTCAGCCTTAAACTTCGACCATTGGCACTCGCACTGAGTCCTTTTTCGGTCACTACTACTAACATGTCCACTGCGCCTAAAATTTTACTCAATTCACTATCGACTCATGCCGATCACTAATTACGACGTCTGTCCACTCAAACTCAAAACAATCACTTCACTAATTGCTAAAAGCAATTCACTACACTTTGCCACACTTCACTTTTGTCGACCGCGCCATTGTTACGACCCGAGGTGTCCGAGATTTAACTAATGCGACGAGCATAATAATAACACTTTATCACAATAGGAAATAAACAATAAGTGGGCGAAGGGAATGGGACAGACGAAGGAGATCAGTGACTAGCCCCGCTAGTATGATCCGACTAGACTGACGTTTTCTCTGGCTTTTATAGTAAACACTTTAAGGGCTGACGCCCATACACAACACTTGGAAGCTATTTAATCTTCCCCCTTTTTATTTATTAAAAAAAGTTTTACATTAAATCTGTCTACTTAGCAACAAATAAATATTAAAAATAAATGTAAAAAAGTTATAAGTATATTTAATCCCCCCTCTTAAACTTTTTATAATTTTTAAAAATTAAAAAAAATATATTTATATCCTTTAAGGTCTAAATTAATTTATCTATTTATTAGAGAAAAAATTAATTGGATGAGCAATCGAATAGAGCCATTAAGGAATGATTTCAGGCCGAAGTACTGTGCTGCCATAATGTAAATCCGATTAGGGTTGGGGGCCCGGTTGGGTTTGGTTCGAAAAAGACACGAACGGCCCGGTTCGAAAAATCCAACCCTAAATCAGATGATGGGCTATTTCTGCTCATTCATAGTCTTTCTATAAGTATTAGGTATTTTTTAGTTTCTTTCTGCATATTATAACGTCAGCGCTATTTTTTTGTTTAATTTTATTAAAAGCAAAAAATCCAACTCAATTAATTTTTATATTTATTTAATTATGCAAATAATTAAATTAATTCATCTAAATTGAAAGTTAAATAAAATAATTTAATGAATAAAAATCTAATTTTATGTGTTTAATAATTATAGAGCCCTACACCTTATTATACTTCAGATTTCAAATATACTCGTATACAGTATTTCTCTAAAATAAGACCCTTCTAAAATAAACCCCTATATATGCCCCTTATAAAACAAGCCCCCCCCCCCCTTCCCAAAAAATATTTAATTTTTGAGTACTTGTTGAGTCCCCATAAGGGGATATCAGGGTGCGTAAAAAGTTTCCGGACTTAATCAAAATGAATTCATTTTTTTAATTTCAAAATAAAAATAAGTTTACACAAAACGTTCATTAGACTCTTGTAAATAAATATTCATAACAAATTTTCAAAATGGGAACCGCCCGCTGAGATACACGCATGCAAATGCCTCCGAAAATTTCCTACTATGTTCTAGAAGGATTAACATATCTGGAAGGATTAACATGACATGCATATAGAGTGATTTAGAGAGATATTGAGAGATTTGAGGGAATTAAGAGGGAAGGGGGCTTGTTTTAAAATGAAGTCACCTTCCCAAAGGGGTGACTCCCCTTGGGTAGTCACCCCTCCTCCTTTGGGGAGTCATTTAAATTTACCGAAATTTAAATTTTATATTGAAATTAAAATTTATCAATTTATATTAAATATTTTAAAAATTCCAGTTAAAATCCCATAATTTATTTAAACTCTTCCCATAAAATTATTTTTTAAATTTAAATAATTTATTTTTAGTCATTTATTTATCAGTAGGCGAACTTTCAGTTATCTCTTCAGCCTTTTCCTCTTCCAAACCTCCAACACATTTCCAACCACTTGCCAAAGTACATTTACCCTTACAGCAATCAAAAGCCTTTCTTGTTGGATCACATTTCCTTTCATAACCAGGTTTATCTGCAATACATGCCTGGATTTCCTTAAAATATAAAAAAGTTGAGAGAAAAATAACAAAAATTGTTATTAAAAATATTTTGTTGGAATTGAAGAAGAAGAAGAACATTTTTTAATTTGAATCTAAAAATATTAAATGTAAAGCATTCGTGTAAATGTAAAACATTCGGCGGTTGGGAGCGAACCAGCATCTTCAGTATGTAAAGCATATTTAATGTAAGAACGAGAAAGATCCAGCTGGCTAGCGTTTAAAACGCTCAATAGGCGGGGGTTTATGATCCCGGTACCACTAGGCGGGGGTTTATGATCCCGGTAGCTCAGTTGGTGGAGCACCTGTACGTGGTGAGCTAAAGCGCCTAGCAATAACTGCCTGGAGGTCGCAGGATCGAAGCCTGCCCGGGATTAAACTTTTACCTTATCCCTAAAGCTGACTTAATCCCTAAAGCTAAGCATGAGGCAGATGGTGTAAATGGCTAACACATCAGTCCGGTAAACTGAAGTTGCTGATTAGCTCCCAGCCGCCTAATAACATTTGCTTAAGCTATAGCCCGGCTGCTTTACTTAAATTATTAAATAAAAAAATAGTTTTAATTTTAAAAAATTAATTTTAAATTGAGAAATTATTTATATAAATGTTTAATAATTTTTTTAATAAAATATTAAATTGATTAAATAATTAAATAATTAATTTTAAACTAAAACACACAACAATTTATACAGAATTTTTAATTTAATGAATTAATATTTGGCAAACAAATTTGTATATTTTTTTTCAAAAAAATAATTTATTTTAATTTTTGAATCCTCCATTTTACGCAAATTTAATATTTTTAAACAAACAAAAATTAAAAAAGAACTTTTTTTATAGCTAAATGGTGGCAAAAATTAAAAAAAAGTTTATGAAACATTTTTTGATTTTTAAACTGGCAAAAATTAATAACGTAAATTCTTATATTTATTATTATGTATGTACGATTTACATGTATGTTTATACGATTTAAATATATACGATTTGTATTTTTTGTTTAAATTTAAAATGAAAAAATATTAAAATTTTTAATTAAAAAAAGAATTGCAGATTAGGTGTACGGAATTCTCATCTCCCAAACTGAAACTCTTAATTAAAATACATATTCGTTTTAAAGGAAAAAGTCAATTATAACTATAGACTAGATTAATTCGAATCGGGAGCAGGCCATCGTACCGCGAGCCCAACTTACCGCAGTGCTATAACTTTCTTCAAAAAAGTCGAATCCGGGAAGCCTTGGTATGTTTCGATGCATCTCAGGGCGTCCCAGTGCGGTACGTTGGGGTGTACCTGTTCGAATCCTCACGAATTATACACGCTTCATCGAGCTTAGACAACTTGTAGCACTCTTTGGAGGAGAAATTTGCGAACTCTATTGTGGATCAACTCTATTGTGGAAACCTTTTGGGATGGGTATTCTATGCTTTATTTTATTTATTTTATTCATAAATTAATAATCAACACTAGAAGGCCAGGAATATGGATCAGGGCGGTGGATCAGGGCTGTTATTAGAAGGAAAATTCATCGGATGGTCGATCGAATAGGACCATCAAGGAATGATTTTCAGGCCGAAGTACAACGACTGTGCCGCAAACTAAATCCGATGATGAGCTATTTTTGTTCATTCATATTCTTCGTAAAAGTACATATTAGGTATTTTTTAGTTTCTTACTACATATTATAACGTCAGCGCTATTTTTTCGTTTAATTCTATTGAAAGCAAAAAATCCAACTCAATTAATTTGTATATTTATTTAAATATGCAAATAATTAAATTAATTCATCTACATTAGTTTCTTTTTCTAAAATAAGCCAGCCCCCTTCCCAAAAAATATTTAATTTTTGAGTAATTGTTGAGTCCCCTCAGTTGAGTCCCCATAGAGGGATATAGAGGGTTCAGAAGAGTATCTGGAAGGATTTACATGACATGCATATAGAGTGATCTAGAAAGATATCGAGAGATTTGAGGGAATTGAGAGGGAAGGGGGCTTGTTTTAAAATAAAGCCCCTTTCACAAAGAGGGCTTATTTCTTCCCATAAAATTATTTTTTGTGAAGCTCAAGATGATCTAACGATATACCAGTTGACTGAGGTATACTAAACGGAGGATATTTCTTGATAATATCCTTCATAACAATAAAATAATATTCACTAAATCCTCTTTAATTTTAAATAATTACTTAATATATTTACCGAAATTTAAATTTTATATTGAAAATTAAAATTTATCAATTTTTGTCAAATATTTTGAAAATATCATAATTTATTTAATTCTTCCGATTAATTTATTTTTAAAATTTAAATATTTATTTTAGCCATATATTTCCTTGCTTCCATATATTTCCTTCCTCTTGCTTCGTTTATTTAAAGTTTATTTTCCCTTTTCATACCTCAAGTTTACTTTCCTTATCTTGCTTCAAGTTTTTTCCTCTTGCTTCAAGTTTATTATTTTTAAGTTTTAAAGTTTAGTTTGAATTTTTTCAAATTGTTCTTCAAGTTTATTTTTCCCTATCTGCTTCATGTTTCAAGTCTATTTTAAAAATCATATAATTTAATTCTTCAAAATTTTAACAAAAAATATGTACAATAAATGTAAAAATAAAGTTCTCAATAAATATACAAAAATTAGAATCATCACAATATTTTTTGTTCTATAATTATGTACTCATTAAACGGTGGGTAGCTCCACAATAGCTACTACTGTTTATTGAATCTGTAAAAATAAACTTTAAAGTTTTTGCTTCAAGTTTCTAGTTTATTTTTCATTTTTGCTTCAAGTTTGATTTTTTAAGTTTTCAAGTTTTAACTATTCCTTATTGACTATTTCAAGTTTATTTTTTTCAAGTTGTTCTTCAAGTTTATTTTATTTTTGCTTCAAGTTTATTTTATTCTTGCTTCAGGTTTATTATTAAACATATGCTTCATCCTACATATTATTAAACAATTTTCCGAAAATTATTTTTTCACTAACAATTTTTTAAAAAAATTTTAAAAACCCACTCCATTGTGTCAATAACAATCCACCCCCATTCGTCATAGTTGGAGATAATTTTGAAGCTCTTCTAGTTGTCATCACACTGCTAGCACCTGCCTTTACCGCTGAAACTTTTTTAGCAAAAGAGTAGGGACAAAGTAAAGCTGCTATTCTTGTTCTAAATCTTCTAGAGAAGAGAGTATAAAGTAAAGGATTGCCTTTAAAATTAATTAAAATATTTTTAGAAATAAATTTAAAGACTTACAAGCACTGCAAAGCATTGCTAGTGCATTCATTAGTAAAATAAATTGATATGGAGGGTGAATTCTAACATTAAAAAGGCCTCTGAAAAAAAACAAATGTTTTTTAATTTAAATTTTTTATTAAATGTTTTTTGGATTTTTTTAGATATTTTTTTGGATTTTAAGTAAAGTGCTTCAGTTTTGTATTTTTACTCTTGTTTTATTTGCGTCAAGTTTATTATAACAAATTTATTTTTATAAAATTTTATTATAACAAATTTTTTTATATAAAATTTATTTTTATTTATTCCAACTTTTTTGCTTCATTAAGTTTTATTTTTCAAGTTTATTTTTCTGCTTCAAGTTTATCTTCTCTTGTTTTAAGTTTAATTTTGCTTGTTTATTTTGCTATTTTTCTGCTTCAAGTTTATTTTAATGCTATATTTATCTTGTTGCTTCAAGATTTCATTCTTATTTAGTACAAAGTTTCAGTTTCATTTTTTTTAAATTCTTGCCTTGATAAGAAAATAGCCTGTATAGGTGAATAACAAACAAAATAAACAGAAACACAAGCCACCAACATTTTAACTACATTTCTTCTAGTCCTTAAAGCTTCCTCTCTGGCTCCCAGCAAAGCTGCTGATGTGCTGCTTGTTCGACTAGCAGCTGAGCCGGGATCAGACAACCGAGGTTCATCTCTTGCTGAGAGTGATGTTTTTGTTTCTGGAACTAAAAAATTTTTTTGTTTATTAAAAAGGAATTTTTGTTTTTGCTTCAAGTTTAACTAATTAAGTCATTTTGCTTCAAGTTTATTTTTTAATATTTTTTGCTTCAAGTTTCATTTACCTTCATAAAGTTGTCTATTCTTCGCCCATAGAACAGCACAAATTTTAGAATAAAGAAAAAGGAATGCCAGACATGGAAGCAAGTAAAGAGTTAAAAATTCAAACCATTTATTCCAAAATTCTGAAGAAGCACGAACGTTAATACACACTGACCCTAAAAAATTATTTGTAAAATTAAAAAAAAATTATTAAAATTTTTTTTTACCGTCTGGACTAATTTTATTATGTAATACATATGGAACAGCAATTAAACAGGCAGTTAACCATATTGTAAAAATTGCTATGAGAATATTTGTACGTGAGCATAGGCGGCGGGCATGAATTGGAAAAACAATAGCGATATAACTGGAAATTAAGTTTTTGCTTCAGGTTTATCGTCAAGTTTATTTTTAATTTTGCTTCAAGTTTATTTTCTCAAAGTTTATTTTTTAATTTGCTTCAAGTTTATTTTTTCATGTTCTCTGTTTGCTTCAAGTTTATCTTTTATTTTGCTTCTATCAATTTTTTTTCAAGACTTTTAATTCAAGTTTATTTATCACCAAGTCTAAGTTTCAAGTTTAATTTGTGTTTATGCTTCATGTTTATTTTTTCAAGTTTATTCTCTGTTTGCTTCAAGTTTATTTTTATTTAACTAACCGTTCAATGCAAACCATTAATTGTGTAAGAATTGACGTAAATAAAAAGACACACTCCAAATATCGGACTAAAGGGCATAAATAATATGGCAACCACGGAATCCATGTAGGAGAGCCTATTGCAATCGTGGGTGTCCATTCGAGTGAGGTTGTAGCTAAATTCAAGGCGTCGGCAACAGCCTTAAGTTTACAAGTATAAATTTGCTTCAAGTTTAATTTTTCAAGTTTATTTTCTTCAAGTTTATTTTTTTCCAAGTTTATTTTTCAAAAACTTTTTTTCTCCAACTTATTCAAGTTTATTTTTTCCAAGTTTATTTAAGCCTACCAAATTAAGCAAAAGCAAATTCATAACACTTCTACGCATTTTACGATCTCCCAAAATAGCAACAATAACTAAAGCATTTCCACACAGGCCAACAATTGTTAGCAATGAAAAAAGGGAGCCGAAGACAAGGCGCCATAAGGGCGAAATCATTTTTTTGAATTTTTAATTAAATTTATTTAAATTTTTTTGTTGTTAAAGAGTTTTAGGCTAAAAATTAGTAATTATTTTTTAATTTAAAAAAGTTTATAGAAGCAATAATATTTAAAAAAATTTAAAAAATAATGCAAATTTAAATAAAAAATTATTTAAGAAAGGGAGGCAAAGATAAAATTACTAGAATTGGACCTCACTATAAGATACATATCACATATTAGTTAACTTTATTTTAGAGACGTTTGGGTTTGATATTGGATTGGGGATTTACCTACGTGATATAACTTATTATAACAACCGAGCCTATTATAAAATAGCCACTGGGCATAGGAGGTATCATCACGTGGACAGCCCTCTCTCCTATTCAATGTCAAACCAAAAACGTAACTAAAATATTATTATTGTTATTTTAGGTTTGCTTCACTTTTTAAAATTTCAAATCTAAAAATTATCAAAAAATGATGCTCGGTAAAAATTTTCAGGCATTTCTAATATGAAAACTAAAATTTTTCCAAGTGGAGTTATAGTTATGTTACACCTAGATTTCATAAAATGTGAAAAAAATTTTAATAAAAATTATTTTTTATTCTTGCTTTAAATTACATTTTCAATTTGGGTAAATATTTAAAAAAAATTTTCATTCATTAGAATCTTAAGAAATTAAAAAAATTTAAGTTGGGTTATAGTTTTGTTACACACTGTATTCCAGAATTTAAAACAAAATAAAAATTAAAGATTTTTAGAAAAATGAGACAAAAACTTAAAAGTTGAAATAAAAATGTACTTTTAGTTAACTAAAATATAAAAGCAAAGAATTAAAATATAAAACTTTTTTTTCAAACTTTTCAAGTTTATTTAAAAAAAGAATAAAGTTTCAACTTGTTTATTAAATTTTTAAAAGCGCTCTTTTTCAGTCATTTCACTCATATCATTTTCATAACTTGTTCCATATGATTTAAAAAAAATTTTTTTTGATAGACAAGAAGCAAATATTTATAAAAAAATATTTATTTAAATAAATTTATTTATTTAAAAAAAGTTTTAATTTTATAAAAAAAAAGTGTGGGGGAGGGGAGGGGGAAATTTGTTATTCAATACTTTCTAGGTACATAAATGAGGGGGGAGTGAATAAATAAATAAATAAATATTTTTTTAAAAGGAAATTAATGTGAAAGTAAATAAATAGGAAAAAAATATTTTTTTAATAAAAATATTTTTGACAAATTATTTTTTAATTTTTAATATTTACATAGGATTGATTAAAATAAGGTTTGTTTTGGGTAAGAAAATAAAATTAAGTTTAAGCTTCAGAAAAAGGTTTTAAGAAAAATTAAAGTTTAATAAGTTTATTTTAAAGTTTTATTTTGTAATAAAATCAAGCTTATTTTTAATTCAAGTTCATGCTTGATACTTTAAATTCTTTTAAGTTTAATCTTAAAACTTAGTTTGTTGAAAGTAAATATTGAAACAAGCTTGACAATAACAAACAAAGTTTATTTTAAAATAAATAAAATATATAAAAAATATAAAATAAAAGTTATAAAAGCTTCAAGTTTGTTTCCAACTTTAAAATGTTACGGACAAATTTATTTGCAACTTGAATTCTACTCTTATTTTAAATATTCTAAAACTTTTCAAGTTTGTAAGAATGCAAAATTTAATTATAAAACAAGTTTGAATGTCAATCTTTGTTTAATTCATTTTATATTAAACCCACGCTTATTTATTTAGAATTTAAATTGTCAGAATAAAATCAGTCTTATTGTACTATATGTAAAGAATTGAAAATAAAAATAAATAAAAATATTTTTTGCTTTAAACAAAATGTTTCTATATTTTATTTAAAATATTTTTTAATAAGCATTTAAAAATTAATTGTAATATATAGGTATATTAAATTATTATTAATACCTAATTTAAATAAAGCAAATATTTTTTTTGAAATTTATCTTTGTAGTTGCCAATTAAAAATAATTTTAAATTTGTATTTCTATTTCTATTTTTATTTTTAATTTATAAAAATTAATTTTATATTTATTTGTATAAGCTATAATTTCTTAATTAGGAAATATTTTTTTCAATAAAAATTAAAAAAAATGAAAATAATTAAAATAAATTTGGATTTATTTTAATTGGATTAAGAAATATAAATTTGGAAATAAATTATATTTTGTTAATTTTGGAAATAATAAAAACAAAAATAGCAAAATTGTGAACAAAAATTGTAAAATAATACAAACAAAAAATAATAAAAGAATAAAAATATTTTTTTGAAAAACAAACCTAAAAATTATTTTTTGTTATTAAATATTGGTATTAAATACCTTGTTTGTTATTATACCTATTATTCAAAAACAGATTTGCTGTTAAATAAATTAATTTTAATTAGATTAATAAAATAAATTTAGATAAAAATTAAATAAAATTTTTATTAGAGAAATTTAAAATACCATATATGCTCTAATAATTACCCTGGGTAATTATTGTTTCAACCTCTCGCTGGAGGGGGCAATCAAAAGGGAGTGGGTAAATATGAGCTTTTTTAAAGAAGGCTAATTATAACTATTTTTAAGAGGGGTAATTATTTTTTCGATTTTTGGCTGTAGGGGGTAATTAATAGGGCGGGGTAATTATATGAGTGAGGGACATTATTTCAGCATTTACTACGGTATTTGATATTATAGAGATTAAACAAAAATAAAAATAATGAAGCTCCCAAAGGTAAACATATGCACCGCAATGTAAAAATATTTACAATTTGCCAAATGTTTAGTGAAAAAAATATTTTTAAACAAAATTCTGGAAAATTCAAAATATTTATAAAAAATGATTTCACAAAGAGGAGGAATATAAATAAATATAAACTTATTAAAAATTTATTAAAAATAAAAAAATGTAAATTTATTTAATTAAATATTTAAACAAAAATAATGGATGGAAAAAAATATTTTTTTTTAATTTTCACACGAATTTTGCTAATAATAGAAAATTTTATTTATTTTATTTTTACAAAACTCATCCATTTTTGTTTAATAAATATTTAATAATAAAAATGGAAAAATTTTTGAGATTATCTAAAAAAAGGAAATAAATAAATTTGATAAAAGAGGAAACTTCCTGAATATTACAATAAAAGGATTTTTTAATTAATTAAAAG